AACCGTAAACCATTAAACCCAGAAGCCCGCAACCCTAAACTCACAAACCCAACAGCCCACAGCCCTGAAACCCTAAACCGCGAAACCCAGAAGCCCGCAACCCCGAAACCGTAAACCCCTAAACCTAGAAGCCCGCAACCCTAAACCCACAAACACAACAGCCCCCAACCCTGAAAGCCTAAACCCCTAAACCCAGAAGCCCGCAACCCCGAAACCGTAAACCATTAAACCCAGAAGCTCGCAACCCTAAACTCGCCCACAACCCTGAAACCCTAAACCCCGAAACCCAGAAGCCCGCAACACCGAAACCGTAAACCCCTAAACCCAGAAGCCCGCAGCCCTAAACCCACAAACCCAACAGCCCCCAACCCTGAAACCCCAAAACCCCTAAGCCCAGAAGCCCGCAACCACAGCATGAAACCCCGAAACAGGGGGACGTGACTGCACGAGCCGGGGGTCTTGAAGCAGTTAATGCAAAAAAGCCGATCAGAACCCTGAGCCCCAGTGCACGAGAACCTTAATCCCCTAGAACCAAACCCTACGCCCGAAAACCTTATTTAGACCTTTATTTAAACCTAAGCCCTAGAGATGTCAACTCTTTATTAATAAACCCCCGGGATGAAAGGCGCGTGGGCCTCGGACCTGGCTGAAACCATGCTTTAAAGATGCTGGCGTCTTCCACCAGAGCCCCCCGTTGGGAAAAAAAACCTTGCCAAAACCCCCCCGATTAACGGCACCCTTCTGCCCCAAGCATCTCCAAAAACCAACTTGCCTGCAGACTTAGAAGGGGTTCGGGGTTCAGGGTTTTGAGTTTGGAAGTTGGTTTGGGGGCAGGTTGGGGTCCAGGGTTTAGGGTTCAGGGAGGTTAGGACAGTTTCTGCAAGGCATGTCGCCCATAAGTTGGGTGAGCCTCTACATGGATGGCGTTTCAATGATGACTGCATGTTCAACTTTAGGGGTTTCTAGGGTTTAGGGTCTAGGCTCAAACATTAAGCGGGGGTCGGATCAGGCCACCAGCGGACCTACCTTGCGGGCGGGAGAGGGGGGTTTTATTGTCAAGAGTTCCCATAAGCCCAAACCCTAAGCCGTGGAAACCCAAACCCTATGCCCAGGAACCCAAAACCCTAATCCCTAGAGCCCGAAACCCTGCGAAGAGAACCCGAAACCCTAGCCCCAGGAATTGCTAAGAATCGGAAAGCAAACATTGGCACCTACTCGACGCCCGCGGCCTATGCCTTCTTCGAATCAGGTAGTGATCAGACCCGGTGGCGGAAACATGCGGAAACTAACATGGACAACCAGCCGCTAGCAACAGGACTTGCCCAGAATCGGAAAGCAGTCAATCAGGCAGTGTATGACCCTGTGGAACATGGCTCCCCACTCAAAGCCTCTGGGCATTTAAGTTCCACCCATAAACCGGAACTGAAATGGGATAATGGGATTGTAACCCCACGTGGCGGGTTGGGGGCTTTTAGTCCAGAAAAAATGGTTCCCGAGGGTCCAAGACCGGCGGTGGGCAGGATCATGTTGTAGCAGTTGCTGTAGTTGCAGTGATTGCTGTTGCTGTTGTTGTTGCTGTTGCTGTTGTAGATATAATGGTCGCAAAGCTCATAGTCGGAAACACTCACCAAATTCGTCCACCCCATTTTGCACAGTGGCTCCTGTCCGGATTCAGAAGCACCTCCAGCTCAACGCGAACCCAGTAGAACTTCTGTACTTCTGAGTGCTGTGCCACCTACACTACTACCACAACGACGACCGTTTCCACTGTGACCAAGGACATTCTAGCTGGCCATTGTCAGCCTTGAGTGAAGCCGGTACTGTAACCTTCCCTCTGCCGAGGGCGACACCGCGGTGAACTTGAGCCCGCTAAGATTTCGCAGGCAAGCGAGGCTAGCGGCGAGGCAAAACCTTCCCGTGCTTTCCGGGTTTTGGTGGTTGGGAAGGGTGAGGTTCTGTTTGGAGCTTTGGCATTTCACGTAGCTTCTACTTTAGCAATTGGACAGGTGGGTTCAAGGGATGCCAGGCTTGAGCACGGGAAGCTTTGAATCAAGTCGGGAGCACCCGAGGCAGATCACCTCCCAGCGGTGAACGTGAAGTCCCAGCATTTCCAAAGCCTCAGGTGTGTCACCCGGGATTCTCTGATTTTGGCTGTTCGGACAGGTTGAGCCCTCCTCAGTCCACTACTGGGGGCCCCAGGTCTCCGACGATGATGAGATAGGAAGTGGCGACCTGCGAGCTTCAGGGGGCACTGCTCCGACCTCCATGACGTAAAGCATAAAAGCATGTGGAATGCACGAGCCAAATGCTTTCTGCTCCCGAGGGTCGAGCCCCAAAGCACTTCACCATCACCGCACCATCCTCAGAAAGTAAGAAATTCCAGAGGCTCCGGGACAATCAACTCTGGGAAGCTCTTGGAAGGTTTTCGGCGATGTTAAGTGTTAAGGGCTTCAGAGGGGACAAAGGTACATCAAAACTGAACCTCAGTCAATCATGGGCCATCTCGCAACCGGAAGTCGGAACTCTTCCAACAGCCAGGTTGCAATGAGCCACGTCCATCGTGGAGCAACTGCGTTCGAAACCTAGCACGGTCGAAACATACTGCATTCACGGACGGCTGGGTTCTGACGGGTGGGCGTGAGGGTAGTTGACAGCCTACCACCCTCCAGCCCCGTCGTTACCACACCAGCTCTCTTCCTCATGGCTAGCTTCCTCTTCCTCCACATCCTCAAGATCCAATGTCGTCGTCATCGTCATCATCCCACGAAACCATCCTCAGCACCATGATCAACTGCGGCAGCTCGCAGCCCTCTCAAAACGAGGTCGGGCCGGCCGAATAGAAGCTGCAGGGCGCCTCGCCAATCCTGACAGCTAGGACTCTTCAATCCTTCGAGGGTGCACCCGTGCTTGAAAACATGCTGTTGCTGCTTCTCTTACACTGACGTGTCGGGTTTGCTTGATAATGGATTACCGCGTTCCGGATCTGACTTGGCAACACTACACAGGCCTGCCTCCGAGCAGAACACTGCAGAAGATGACCTCGGAAGTCTTGGCACACTAAGACCGTGATCTGGGCTCAGGTGCAGAGGTCCAGGCATCCCAAGGCGGAGCATGTGCCAAAGACGACCAAGAGCGCAAGGCCCAGGCCGTAGCCTTTCAAGGGCAAGGGACTCAAAGCCGCGACCCATTGTTGGGCGATGCTTCCAGGCAACAGAGATACCATTGTTGAAACACGTGCACGCCTGCTGTCGCGAAGGCGTGGGGCACACCGAGCAGGCCGCTTCCGCCAAGCAGCCTTCGAGGATAAGAACTTGGGAAACAGGGACGGACACGCAAAGCAGCAGTGAACTGCACGACCGAACGAGTGCTGAACGCAGCAACAAAACTAGTGCCGCGATTGGAGCATTGAGTAAAGAAAAATAATCATCATGGTCCTATGTAAGCGAAGTAATCGAATTCACAAAAACCCCAAACTGAAGGCCCTGGCGTGTTGGCTAAAACCGCGGCGCCGCTTCGAGCGCTAGCGAAGCCCAGGCCCTGGAGAAGAATCCAGGCTTGGGATTTCGGGGTTTGAACTCTTCCAACTTTTTCGCGCCTTTTGCAGGCGTTCTTGTCAGGCCCACCACCTTCCCTCCCTCCCAACCGTGCACGATTTCTGTGCTTTCCGTGGTTCCCCTCCCTCTGCTCACGTTTGGCTGGACAAGCCTCCGGACGTGCCTTAGTGGCAGGATGTCCGTCTTCTTTCTGCTTCCATGATCGTGTTCCGCCTTCCCTTCTCGCAGAAGCAAGGGACTTGACGAGCTACGCGTAGTCGCTAAAGGCAGCGGACTGGAAAAGCGGGCTCCGGCCCTGCCTTCGCGGCCTTGGCCGCTTCGAAGGCCTGGGAGCCGGAAGAGAAAAACCCCCCCCCCCCCCCCCAAGCCTTGCAGCACATGACATGATCATAATTTGTTGGGTTCATCCGGCGCACCGTCGTCCCGTCTGCAGTAGGCGAGGTCTCTGCGACCGAGAGCGCCTGAACCCAAGCTTTACAAGGATTGGCTGAAGTTCCAGATCTCGCATTTGGCTTTTGACTTCTTTCCGCATCCTGCTGGCTGATATATGCTCTGCTATTTTACACGCAATGGGGAATGCCAAAGCAAGGATTTGCGTCACCAGGGCGGCACCGTGCCCGTGCCTCGGAAGCATTGGAGATCAGGCTCCGCGCCTTCCAACGGTTTTGCTGCTTTCGGTGCTGATTTCGATGTGTATGCGAAAGAGAAGGGAGACAGCGAAAGATAAAGACAGAGAGAGAGAGA